CGAAAGATAAAATTATCTGTGTACTACTCATGTGTCAGAAAAAAAGATCAGCTTTATTGTAACAGGTTGAAATGGCAATTTCTGAAATCTTCCCCTGTAGAACTATAAAAAAAGATGAAATTCCGTAACAAAGTGAAATTTCGTAACGAGCGATATTTCAAGTTTTTTATTTGATGAAGCCTAGACGAATCAGAAATGACCTGATATTCTAATAGCTCGTTAAAAGCTGAACAACTTTTGAATATAACCTTCATTTGAATACTTCGTTCTTTCGTATAAAAATGCTTGACTTGTAGCCTCCCTAAAAAAAATTTCCATTTTTAGAAATTCCGTACCGGTCACTATTTTTTGAATAATTCTGCTGCGGTTGAAAAGAAATTTGTGAAATTTTTACTGATAATAAATCTAAGTGAGCTGTATTTATGATAATAATTTCAGACAGTTCGCTTATATTACTAAGCAGTTATACAGGTTGCAATCTGAAAAAATGAAATTCCATCACGCGTGGCCACACCGTTATACGATTTATCATACATATATTTTAGTTTTGTATCATCCATAGAGACAGCAAAAATAACATTGCTCTAGTATATATAACTTTACTCTCAAGTATTAAATTTATTTTATGATAATTCACCACGTAAAAATATGATCCATTTTATTAAAAGTTTCGACGCATTGTTTTTTCAATCTTAGAAATTTTCATAGGCAACTTATAGGACCAATCTTGTAAAAGAAATACATTGAAATTATTGATTTTTTATTATGTAATTCTTTATTTTTTAAATAAATTTGAATCGTTTCACTAGTTTCGTGTGGATACATCATGAAACGAATTGAAAGACTGGTAGTTTGTTTTTAAACTTGATGATATAACTATAAATAAATTTGATCTCTTTGCTAAAGGGCATCATTGCGTGATTGTTTTATTTCTTCACTTCAGCATATTGTCCATGACGTTTTCCGAGTAAAAGGTTATTTTCTTTTATTGCACTCTGCATATGCATCAAAACAAACGATATCGATTCTATATAATAAAGAAGCATTTTGTCTAATCAATTTTTATACACCACTTCAACAAAATAAAAAAAAATCTCTTCAGTAAAAGTATTGCTGCTATTATTTTTGCTGATATTCCGAATTGGTAAACAGTGAACACGAGAACAATAAATAAGAGGAAAGTTCAGTACACAAAAAAAAAATGAAAATAAGGTATGTGCATGAGAATGAAGAGAGAACTAAGCATGCACTCAAACTGTTTTGATTATTTTCGACTGAATGAAGAAAATACTTTTATCTACTGAACTACTTGACAGAAGATTTTTACATTAGTAGAAAATTGAAGTTGACGAATGATATTAGAGAATGTCAATAGAAGGACATCTGCAAACATTATTAAACAACGTGCTTGAGGCAGTCGGAAAACCTAAAACCCATGAATTTGAATTGTCTCTTTCAGTTTCTTTTCAATTGCTTATTAAATCAAACAACGATTCATTAGATCATTCTCGGTTTGGTTGTCGAGAGCAGACGTCTTTGTACGACTGTGGGACGATAGTTTATTGAGATTCTTGAAATTCCATCTATCTATCCTGAAGCTGGCAAACATATCAGATATGTTAGAAAGCCAAACAATCGAGATAAATTATGTTAATACACAAGGTGATATTGTAGTAAAAGATCTTCAGGATATGGGCCTGTAGAATATCGAACGCGGAATATTTTAATGCGAAGTTGAACACTTATTAATCGAAGTTGACAAAATTTTTGGAAGAACTATGAAAACTCCATTTTCTTTCGAACTTCTAATGTTTACATCAATGAAAATATTAATCATTTAATATAGAGCACTCGTTATTATATATTGGATATATTACTTGCTATTTTAAAATTTCGAAACAAAAGTATAGTCATATTATATAATATGTACCATCATCTCATTGTTTTCTAGAGATGATTAGTTTCTTTTTGAAGAATTCAAATAAAATGATTGTAGAAACAGTTTCATTGAAATTCAATGCAATGCTTTGAGACACTAATGCAGGAGATTAATTTGAGACTGAAATGGTGTATTTTACATTAGATTGTGTTGTGGTGAACACATACATATTATATGTTTATTCTTTCATTATCAAATGAATTCATTGATTGAACAAAAAATGTCAAACGATGGATTGTTTTTGTTCAATTGAATGTGTAAACATGAATTTTAGCTATTAAGTATTGATATTTAATCTAGACGCTTGTAGAGTTATTGCCGAGTTTGCATCGTCCATTATATAATGGTATGCAGATATATGAATTTTCTGAAAATTGGAATTATCGTACTCTCTATCTTTTTTATTTTTGTTCCAACAGATACAAGTACTCGAAAGGCTTACACGTCTGGTCACATTCTAAAGCGTTTTTGGTACGCGTGTGTACTGCGAAAAGAATTCAAGGGGTAATATTTAAGAAATGTGAACCTAGCAAAAGATAACAGATCATTACAAGGGCATAAAAAAATTTCATTACTTCAAATCCACAAAAGCATAAACAAACGAAATGAAAAATATTAGAGAATAAGCCAATGAGTATGACTTTTCATGACAACCGAGAAATAATGAACCTCAAAGGGTTAAAAATTACCTAGAAATTATAAATCCACACAGGAGAACTCGTCTTTCAGTCAAATACTATAAACCTTTAAAGATCTTTTTCTTTAAAAAGTCTTGATTCATTTATCGGAGCTTCACAAATACAGTCGCTGATGCAGCATAATCCGTTCAGGGAGTTATGGATCAATATTCATTGTTTTCATCAACAGTTAAGCAAAGATCTTGAAAAATACCCAAAACGTGAACAAAAAGCAAAACACTTTTAGGCACCAGGAGAATACTCTGTCCTTTTTATCACACGGTTTATCGATACATAAAAACTGTATCGATCGATGTTGAACCTCATGGACTATCGATTCTTGTCATCTGTGGCCTCATATTGAACCATCAAAGACGGTGAAAATCATCCAATACTTCAAAATATTCGTGAAAAACCATAGATAGTTAAAATGATTACGACTGTCTGAAATTAGATGGTTTGCGGGAATATGGAAGTCATATTCATTGATGTAAAATTGACCGGCTATCGAATTGTATGTATTTTTTCCTGCGACATACCGTCAGAAACAAAGGATAGAGAGAATATTTTGAATAATCTTGGCTTTCAAATAGTAATTTAAAGTCCTTCAACATATTGAGAATCTCGGACGGTTTACTAGAGAAGAAACTCCGCTAATGCGAATGAGTAGCCTGAGAAATTTAATTTAGAATAAAAAAGTTTCAGATCGCATGAAAATTGGAACTCAATTATTGTTAGTGTACTTAGTAATTGTGATCAAAGATGTCAATCATGTAGAACACTGTGATGTCGGCATCAAAATAAAAGAGAGTCAATGTAAAGCAATTATTTCAGAAGAGCAGTAGCTAATTAGTTGGGTTTTTCTGCTATCGCAAAAACATGACAACCGGAACGTCTTTTTCTCGAATACAATATCAGACGAAATTGTTTTAGAACTAATCATCTTCGTGAAGCATTCAAAAACTATATGAAAATGATCCGTCGCTCCTATTTATTTTTGATCGCCTGTAAGACAACTAAAGTAAATAATCATTTGAATTGTGTCTTAAACTATAAATTCGAAGTATTTCTATCTAAGTCAAATATCCTAATCGAAATTTCATCTGAACAGCAGACCAATTATATACAGTTCATTGAAGATGACTGCTTCTAAACTGACTTGATTTTATGTATTATTCGAGAAAACTACTTCGAAATATCTCCTCTTTCAATTGCTTCGAATCTCCAATCATTTTCTACTGTCGTTCCCAAGATGTTCGTCTTCTTCTCATCTCTCCTTTATTCTGGCGTCGATGTTAGATGTTGTTACGTTTTTGGACGTAGTAACTTCCTCAATGTGATCTGTGTAAAAGTACTGAGAAATGATATACATATTTTATTTCTCCTCAGAAAAAGAATTATATTTATATAAGTCTGGTCATCGTAAAGAAATCTAGATGGTAATTTGTGGACGTCGCTAGCGACTCGCATGCTAGATTTTCATTGCTTAATGAAATGGGCCCATCTGATGCACGTGTATAGTTGCTTCACAGTGGTTATAATTTCTCGATTCGATCGTATCTAGTCTAAGACATTATAATCTGAACATTTTGTTGCTTTACTTGTGCACATTCTTGATGATGTATGCGACTAAAAAATTCTTTTTGTCCTTCTATTCTGCATATGCATCAAGACGAACAATATCAATTCTATCTAAAACAGAAGCACTTTGTCTAACAAATTTTCATATACCTTTTCGACAAAATATTAAAAGTTTTTCCAGTAAAAGTATTGCTCCTGTTCAAAATGGTGCTGTGATATTTGCTGAAGTTCCATCTGGCTATCCTGAAGCCGGCAAACATATTAAATATGTTAAAAACCGAACAATCAACATAAATTATGTTAATACACAAGGTGGTATTGTGACAAAAAATCTTGTCATATCCATTGATCCATACATGAGAGGACGTATGAGACCAGCTGGAACAAAAAGTTATATAGAAGCATTTGAACTCAATCAACCATTGACCAATTTCTTCTTAGGTAAAGTTGTTAAATCAGATAATAATAAATATAAAGTCGGTCAAATTGTCTATGGACAAGGAGCATATGAAGAATATACAGTTCATTCAAAAGATCAAGCTGAGTCACTTCATATTTTGAATGATGAACAGCTCAAATTTGGTTTACCTTTAACAACATGGGTAGGAGCTGCTGGAATGCCAGGACAAACAGCTTTCTATGGTTTCTATTACATTGGTGAACCAAAGAGGGGTGAAACAATTTTTATTACTGGAGCTTCTGGAGCTGTCGGTCAAATTGTAGGACAACTCGGTATGTTAATCTCTTTCTACATTCATTGTTTCTGACTCTATCGGTTCTCTCAAAACAAACAAGTTTTTCTTTTCGAAATATTTGTTTTATACAAATTCAGATATTCAAGCAAAACAAAAAGATAGTATGTCATATACTGACTGTAATTTTAATAAGATAACATATCAAAATATTATTCATCTTTCCTTCAATGAAATACTATTCTCATGAATCATAAAATTATTGATGTTTTTTGGTTTTAGCTAAACGTGAAGGTCTTAAAGTGATTGGATCAGCTGGTACGGATGAGAAAGTAGAATGGCTTAAAAAAGAACTTTCTTTTGATCATTCATTTAATTATAATACAGCTAATGTAAGAGCAGAACTTGCTAAATTTGATCCATTGAATATTTGAATTTGTACAAAACAAATATTTCGAAAAGAAAAACTTGTTTGTTTTGAGCGAACCGATAGAGACAGAAACAA